ATTGATATAACTGAATTCATTTATATCAGTAATTAAATGTAAATCAAGTAAATATTCCAGCTAAAACGCAGAGATTGTTAGGATGAATTAAAAAGCAAGACTCAATGATAATGCTGTCTACAAGAGACATACTTGGTTGAAAATAAATGGATATAAAAAGATATGCTATGCAGACAATACCTTAAGGAGACAGTGTCTCAATATTAGATAAAGTAGATTTAAAGACACAGTATTTTCAGATTTAAACAGGGATATTTTGTAATGATAAAGGGTCAATTTGTTAGAAGGAAAACAACAGTCATCACTGTGCATGTGCCTAATAATAGAGTTCAAAATGTAAAGCAGAAATTGAAAGAATTCAAGAGAGAAATAGAAAAATCTATAATCATAGTTGGAAGTTTGAACAAGCTCTGAACAATTGATGAAACAATTAGACAGATCACCAAAGACTTTGACTTGTTTGATACTTAGAACACTGCACCCAGAAAAGGCAAAATACACATTATTTTCAAGTGTGCATGACATTCACCAAGATAGACAATAAGGTGAGCTATAATATTAATACAACTCTAAATAAATTTCAAAGGGTTGGAATACAAATATGTTCTGTAATCACGCTGGAACTAATTTTGAAATCAGTGTCATTATATATTGGGAGAGAAAAGTTTGTAATATTAAATAAGCCCTTCCAAATAATTCATATATTAAAGCCTTAGGGGAAAATTTATAGCTTTAATTACTTATATTAGAAAAGAAAAAAGATCTAAATCAGTTACCTAGACTTTCATTTTAGAAGATAAAAGAAGGGAAAGGTAAACTCTTAAGTAGAATAAAAGAAATAATAAGTATAAGATAATCAGTGAAATAGAGTATCAGAGAATCAGAGAACAGTAACAAAGTTAAAAACTTGCTTTTTGTTTTTTTAAAAAAGAGCAAAATTGATAAACCCCTAGTTAGGCTGATGAAGAAAAGGAAAGAGAACACAAATTACCAATCTCTGGAATGAGAACAGAGTTGTCACTGCAGATGCTACAGTCATTAAAAGGCTGATAAGGGAATATCATTACCAATTTTATGCCAATCATCTCAACCAACAAATTAGGTGAAATTAGTGAATTCCTTGCAAAATTTTACTTACTGAAACTGACACAATTTAAAATAGAAATTTCGAGTGTCCTATATGTCAGAGAAATTGAATTTATTGTAAAAAACCTTTTCATCAAGAAAACTCGGTCCTGACCAGGCACAGTCGTTCATGTCTATAATTCCAACACTTTGGGAGGTTGAGGTGGGCAGATTGCTTGAGCCCAGGAGATCAAGACCAGCCTGGAAACATGACAAAACCTTGTCTCTACAGAAAATAGAAAAATTACCCAGGCATGGTGTTGTGCACCTGTAGGTCAGTCCCAGAGAAGCTGAGGTTGGAGGATTGCTTCAGCCCAGGAGAACAAGTCTGCAGTAAGCCAAGATCATGCCACTATACTCCAACCTGGGTGACTAAGACCCTGTCTCAAAAAAAAAGAAAACTGTAGACCAGATGGTTAAATTGATGAGTTGTATCAGACATTTAAGGCAGAAATAATGAGTCATAATACAATTTCAGAAAGTTAAGGAGGTAGGCCAGGCACGGTGGCTCACACCTGTAATCCCAGCAATTTCGGATGCTGAGACAGGAGGATCGCTTGAGGTCAGGAGTTCAAGACCAGCCTGGCAATATAGGGAGACCCCATCTCTATAAAAATTTTTAAAAATTACCTGGGTGTGGTGGTGTGTACCTGTAATGTAGTTCCAACTACTTGGGAGGCTGAGGTGGAAGGACGGCTTGAGCCCAGGAGTTTGAGGCTATAGTGAGCTGTGATCATACTGTTGTACTACAGCCTGAGCAACAGAGCAAGCCTGTGTCTCCCACAAAAAAAAGAAAAAATTGAGAAGGTGGGAACACTTCGAAAATACAGTCAGTACAGTCACATAGTGCTTAATGACAAGGATACATTCTGAAAAATGTCTCATCATGCAATTATCATAGAGTGTGCTGCTTACATAGACCTTGATAGTATAGCCCATACACACATGGGTTGTTTAGTATAGTCTATTATTCCTAGGTTATAAACCTGTACAGTATGTTACTGTACTGATTAGGTAGTTGTAACACAATGGTAAATATTTGTGTACCTAAACACAGAAAAGGTACAGTAAAAATACAGTATTATAATCTTACAGTACTACTGTTATATATGCAGTCCATTGTTTACTGAAATGTTATGCAGTGCATGACTAATTTTATGAGGCCGTCATAACCCTGATAAGAAAACCCGACAAAGACATGTTTTTGTGAAAAAGCAAATTACTGACCAAATATGTGATTAGCATAGATAAAACAATTAATAAAATATGTTTTTCAAATCCAACAATGTTTAAAAAGGATAATAAAGCATGACCAAGTGGAGTATATGGAATGCCAGTTTGGTTTAATAGTCATAACTTTACGTTGGCTGGGCATGGTGGCTCAGGCCTGTAATCTCAGCACTTTGGGAGGCCTAGGTGGGAGGATCACTTGAGCCCAGGAGTTCGAGACTAGCCTGGGCAACATAGCAGGACCCCACCTCTTTTGTTGTTGTTTCTCACTTCTTTTTATTTAAAAAAAATTTTTTTTAAGTTTATATGTGCTTTTATATGATCAGTTAATTAACAGAAGTACAAAGGCAGCTGATCAAAGAAAAAAATTATCTTTTTAACAAATGGTGCTGGGACTACTGGATGTCCATAGGCAAAAAAGAAACTCAATTCAAACACCTCACCTTATACAAAAGTTACCTTAAAATGAATAATAGATGTAAATGTAAACTTCTAAATACCTCTAGAAGAAAACATAGGAATCTTTCTGACCTTGGATTAGGCAAAGATTTCTTAGATAGCATACTAAAAGTGTTATTCATGAAAGGAAAAATTGATCAATTGAACCTTATCAAAATTAAGAACTTATGTTCTTTAAAGACACTGTAAAGAGAATAAAAAGACAAACCAGCATATTTTAAAAACTCTTGACAACCTAAAAAAAATCCTGTATATAGCTGGGAGCAGTGGCTCACGCCTGTTATCCCAGCACTTTGGGAGGCCGAGGTGGGCAGATCATGAGGTCAGGAGATCAAGACCATGCTGGCCAACATGGTGAAACCCCGTCTCTACTAAAATCAAAAAATTAGCGGACACGGTGGTGCATGCCTGCAGTCCCAGCTACTCAGGAGGCTGAGGCAGGGGAATCACTTGAACCCAGGAGGCAGAGTTTGCAATGAGCCGAGGTTGCGCCGCTGCACTCCAGTCTGGCGACAGAGTAAGACTCCATCTCAAAAAGAGAAAACCAAAAACAAAACCTGTATCTAAACCATCAGTTTTTAAAGGAGCAAAAGTTTTGAATAGATACTTTGCCAAAGAAGATAATTGGATAGCAAATATGCACATGAAAAGATACTGAACATCATTAGTCATTAGGAAAATGCAAATTAAAACCACAGTGAGATGCCACTGCACAGTCAATAGACTGACCTTTTAAAAATCAGTTGAGAGACATGGAGCAGTTCTAACTGCTCCACATTGCTTATGGGAATGCAGAGTGCCGCATTCACTTTGGGAAAGTTTGGCAGTTAAAATTAACATGTACTTAATGTATAACGCAGCTGTGCCATTTCTAGGAAAATTTATTTTCACAAAGAAACTTGTATCCAGTTTTTAGTGGCTTCAGGGGTGATGGAACTTGATTTTGGTGGTGGTTAAATGACTATTCTTTTTTTTAAACACAAAGAACTTAACACTAAAAGTGGTGTATGTACACTATATGTAAGTCATACCATTTTTAATGAAACTGCTCAGAATCTGAAATAAAATCAGTGTATATGAACAGAATATAGGAGGAAAACTATCAGCATTTTAATAGATGTGAAAGAGCATTTGACAAAATTTGTCACCAATTCATAATAAAAAGTCAGCAAACAAAAACTAAAAGAGAATTTCCTAATCTGATAAAAGAGTGTCTAGAAAAATGCCACAGACTTACGTCCTCCAGTATTGAAAAAGAAGACATTCACTGTCACGCTGTTATTCAGCATTGTACTGGAAGTCATTGCCAGGCGCAGGTTTGTAGGTTTCAGCCGTTTTTTGGCTACTTGACCTTGACAAGTTACTTAACCTCTCGTGGGTTTTAGTTTCTTCAGGTTAAAAAGAGGTGGGGCTGTGGGAAATAGGATGATAATCTACCGTGCAGGATTGTCGTGAGGGTTCAAGGAGATGTTTAAGCACCTAACATATATAAGCACCAACAAGTAACGTAGTTACTTGTATATGATAGTAATACAGTAGATTAGTTTTAATTTGTTCAGTGTGTGAGTGTGTGTGGAGGGTTGTGTGTGTGTATCTTCTGTGAGGATAGCCTCTTTCTTTAAACTAAATGAACATCTTAGTGAATTCCTATTCTGGAGAAGGAAAAGGAAGAAATAGGGGAAAGCTAGGCATTTTGACTAGCTTTCATTTGGATAATTGAAAATTATTAGTTCTCTCCAGTAAGGTAATGGAGAATATATAATTACCTGATAATAAAAATTTATTTCTGAAAACAATTCAGAATATCTCGTCTTGTACAGACTGAGTATCCCTTATACCCAAATCCAAAATGCTCCAAAATGTGAAACTTTTTGAGCATCAACATGACACTCAAAGGAAATGTTCATTGGAGCATTTCAGATTTTGGATTTTCAGATTCAGGATGCTCTGACTAGTAATACATTGCATATATTCCAAAATCTGGAATCCAAAACACTTTTGGTGCCAAGCATTTCTGATGAGGGATACTCAGCCTTGTAATACTTATGCAGTATTTTGTTGATATGATTTTAGTAGGAAATAATTGTAAGTATGCCAATCAAACACTTAATTTGGTCTTCAAAGCTGGTTACAATAGTGCAGTGGCACCTGGACAGAGATAAGTTTTTCAAAATTTTTTTGTACAGGATATATTGATTTGTCAAAAAGAAGAGTTTCTCCAGAGGAAGCAATCAAATGTGAAGATAAATTCACAAAATCGAAAACTGTAAGTTGATCTTTGAGTCAAATTAGTCTACTATCTGTGAGTTTAATAAATAATTTGAAATCTTAATTTCAAAAGAGTATGACTACGGTGTTTTGTTTTGTTTTTTTATCTCATATTGCTGCTACCTTAAAGTATTGCTTATGATCTAATATTCTCAAATCAATACTAGAAGTGTTTTGAAGCCATTTTAGGTTAAATTAACTGTGGGTGACTTCAACTGGTTTAACTTGTTTCCAATTGGAATGCCTCATAAAATACGGGGTTTTTTTGTTTGTTTAAATAGAAATGAGGTCTTGCTATTTTGTCCAGGTTGGTCTCATACCCTGAGCTTCAAGTGATCCTTGAGCCTCGGCCCCGCAAAGTGCTGGGATTACAAAAGTGAGCTAATGCGCTTGGCCAAAATACAGTTCTTGATTTTCAACCCTGTTCTGGGATAAGGGTAACAGAGATAGCCAGCTGTTATATGTTAAAAATGAACAGGGGTTTATAAAATGTCTGTGAATCCAGGAAAGCAAGGCAGAGGCCTGTTACTAGTTTTGGGTTTTTTTCCCCTCCACTAGTTTATTAGGATTATTTCTTTTTACTTTTTTTCTTATTTTTGCTGTTACTTCCTACTTGTCATCCACAGTAAGCACCAGCAAAGCAAAGATAGCCGTTTAATTTCTTCACATTTCTTCTGTCAGTATTTCTCTTTTCTCAGGCCCTGTTTAAGTTATCCTTCATCCTCTACATCTTCAGTTCTGTGTGTGTGTGTGTGACAAAGTCTCGCCCAGACTGGAGTGCAGTGGCGCAATCTCAGCTTACTGCAACCTCCTCCTCCTGGGCTCAAGCGATCCCCTCGCCTCTGCCTCCCAGAATGTTTGAGATTACAGGCGTAAGCCAGTGTGCCCAGCCTATCCTCAGTTCTTAGTGGTACTGTTTGTATTGCTTCTGTTTTCTTTGCCCTTCTCTGGTGTCTGTTCTTTTCTGCTATGAGTGTTTCTGTCCTCAAGATAAAATATCAAAAAAAAAAAAAGTTTCAATGAAGAGATTTTAAAAAATCATGCTTAATCCCAGTAAGAGAGAAAATGAAGGTCTAAAAGCCATCAGTTACCCAAATCATTTCCTTTGTTTTAATGATGTATTTACAGTTATGCAGTGTGGTTTACACATTTGAAAACACTGTCAGTAAAATCTCTTCTTAATAAACTCTAGGACCTTACCACTTAGAATGTAGTCTCTGAACTAAGAGCATTGGCATCACATATTTTTTAGAAATACAGACTCTCAGGTCCCACTAACTTTTGAGAAGCACTTTTCTGGGAAAATTCCATATTTTTTTGTCTCCTTAGGATATTATTAAAATGAGTGTGTTAATAGATCTTATCGAGATGTTAAAATGGAAGACTTATTCAATGTCAGTATCTTTTCTCACTCAATTTTTATGTGTAACTATGATGAAGACCTTTTTAATACTTTTTCTCTGCACCCTATGTTAATTTTAGGAGGTAAGAAAAAGTTTGGCAGGTGGGTAAGATTACAGCAAAAAAAAAAAAGAGCTTTTAATCCTGATTCTGTCCTCATGAAGTAATAACAACAACTTGTATTTGTATAATAGTTTTCCATTTATAGTGTGTGGTTTCTGTATATTTGATCTATGCGAGCACTCTCTGTAGTAAGGAGAGATACTAGTATCTTCTTTTTCCAGAGGAGGAAACAAGTTCAGAGATACTGTGTTATTGTCAAGACTTGATCCAGGTCTTAGGACCCTAAATTGTATACTGTCTCTACTTTTTATACCCATTTAAAGTGAATATTTCCCTATGGAGAAAGAACTTATATGGAGATCTTTTGTTGTTAAGGAATTATTGTAGTAAAATTATGTTATTTATTAAAATGTAAAAATATTTATTTTTTATAGATCCCTTATCTTTGAATTATTAAGCTTTTCATTTTATTTCTAGGTTTATAGCATTCTTCGTCATGTTGCTGAGGTGTTAGAATACACCAAGGATGAGCAGCTGGAAAGCCTATTCCAGAGGACTGCCTGGGTCTTTGATGACAAGTACAAGAGACCTGGATATGGTGCCTATGATGCATTTAAGCATGCAGTCTCGTAAGAATGCCTTCTTGACTCTCCTTCTACCTTGCTATCACAACTCTTAACCTGATATTTAACAGCACAGCATCCATGTATAAAGTACTTGCCAATTTTAGATTAAAATATTTTGTGTTGGCCAATAAATGGGCCAATCCTATATGGTCAAGTCTGTGTAGTTTTATGTATCATAGTTATGTAGATTCATAAACTATATGGTTTATCTCAAAAATTTTCCTTTCCTGGTTATTGTCCTAAGTGGCTATAGGACTAAAGAGCATGTGTCACCAAAAACTATAACCTCTTGTTTGCTCTACCTCTTTTGACTCTCCTTTGACTTTCAGCCCACACCACTTGACCCAGTCTTCCATGTAGCCTTAGCCTGGGCCTTACTATCACCAGGATTTGCTCTGCCACTAAAATCTTTAATTCCCACTTTCTGTTCTTTTGCCCCAGCCTCCTATTCATCTAGCTCTCAGTTGGTCCTATTATTTGTCATCTTAATTCTGTATGTTAGGCTCTGATTCCAAACCTTTTTTCTCCCTGTCTTTTCACCATTTCCTGCCTTCTCTTTCTTATCCAACATAGGCACACCATGATCCATCATTTCAACGACTTTCTTGCCATTATTATGAGCTTTTGCCCTGTTTTTCCTTCTGATACATCCAGCCTTGGATCGATGTTCCGGCCTTCTCTGTACTTGTAGAGTGCTGCTAGGAAAAATCACAGTCTTGCAGGTTGGTCCACTGCATATTCATGGTCTCCAGCCTCAGCTATTCCACATTCTCTCTGCTCCTGGTCAGTTCTTCTATAGTGGCTATTTTAGAGCTTTTCCATGTTCTTCCTCGGAAAACCACTCTATCCCTGTTCCCTGCCTCTTGGCTGGTATGCTCACTACCTGTTTTATTTTATAAAGAAAATAGAAACCATTGCACAAGAACTACTTTTCCACTATCTCAACAAACTTACATATCTCCGTCCCACCTGTCATTTCTTCCTATGCTGCTGTCACTGGAATTTGTGTCCTTGCTCTCAAACTAATCTTGCCACCTGTGCCCAGCCATTGCTCAGAGATCTCTATCAGTCACTTTTTCTCTTGGGTCACCTTTCCCTTTATTGGTTTTGCTCCATCAGCATAAAAATATATCTGGTTTCTTCCATTTATACTATAAAACACACTTCTCAACTTTTCCTGTACTTTCTGTTGGAGCGAACACTGCGTCCTCTGCTTTTAACAGCCACACTTGGCTGTGCGTGGTGGCTCATGCCTGTAATCCCAGCACTATGGAGGCTGAGGTGGGAGGATTGCTTGAGGCCAGGAGTTGGAGACCATCCTGGGCAGCATAGCAAGACCGCCATCTCTAAAAAAAAAAAAAATTAAAAGTAGCCAGGTGTAGTAGCATGTGCCTGTAGTCCCAGCAACTTGGGAGGCTGAGGCAGGAGGATCACTTGAGTCCAGTGATTTGAGGTTTCTGTGAGCTGTGATTTATGATTGCACCACTGCACTCTAGCCTGGATGACAGAGTGAGACCTTGTCTCTTTAAAAAAAAAAAAAAAAAAAAAAAAAAGCCAGACTCTTTCAGTTCTCTACACTTGCTGTCTCTTTACCTCCCACTCCTTCCTAAACGTTAAGGGGTAGAGGGGAGAAAAAAAGAGAATAAGTAGGACCCAGGACCGTTAAGAGTCCCCCAGCAAGCCAAATCATCTGGGGTTCCAAATCACTTCAAGTTTATTCTCATGTGACTTTTTATTTATTTATTTTTTTAATTTATTTAATTTTTTTTTTTTTTGGTATATCACGTGGTAGAAAAGGTGGAAATAGTAATAATAACTAACATTTATATAATTCTAACAACGTATGGTATAAATGCTATTATCCTTTTCTTACAGTTGAAGAAATTGAAGCTGAGATTAAGTAATTTGTTCGAGGTCACACAGCTAACAAATCATAGAGCCAGGCAGTATTCAAACGCATGCATTCTGGCTCCAGCAGAGTTTGCACTATTAGCTATTAAACACAACTTTATATTTCTGTCCTGCAGTCCTCAGTACATTTCTTAATTTCTCTCAACTGTCATCATCTGGCCTCTTTAGTTACCTCTTTAACTTCTAGCTCCAGCAACCCCTTGTTACCACTAAGCCTTGGCATGTGTTACTCCCTTTTCCTTAGCACTCTTTTCTTCGTTCATGTAGGGACTGTCCAGATTTAACTAATGCTAGTTCTTTGCATTTTTTTTTAATTACATAAAATTTTCTCACATAGTTGGAAACAATGTTTTACCTTTCCAGACTTACTTTCCTCACTTATCAGTGATAACCACTATTCTGAAATTATTATGTGTCAATATCATTTTTTATTGTTTTACTACATGTATGTGTCTATATTCGTTATTTAAAATGTAACCTATTGTATCTTTTTGTAGCTTGCATTTTTACATATAAGGCTGTTACTAAGCAGGATTCCCCCACATTGATAGGTGTATACTTGATCCATATTAATCTCTGTATAGTATTTCATTGTGAGAATATTCTTTATCTGTTTCTATTAGAGTTGTTTAGGTAATTTTCCCTTTTGTCCCATTTGTCAAACAGGGCTGTGATGAATACCGTATGTGTCTCTATATGTAGTTGTTTCAGAGTTTCTAATATATATGCCTAGGAGTGGAATTGTTGGGTCATAGGATTGATTATATATCTTTAAACTGACTTGGTTTCACCAAATTATTCTTCAGATTGATTCTACAATTTATATTCCCTCTAGCATTTGTATAAGTATTCCTATTTCCCCTCATCCTTGCCACAATTTCGTATATATCTGATTTTTTTTTTCTCGTTTTTCTAATCTAATGAATTCACAGTAGTATCTTCTGATTTGCTTACTCCTGATTGTTGGAGAGGTCAACAGTTTTTCATGTTTATTGACCATTTGTATTTCTTCTATGAAACATCTGTTCACCTCATTTGCCCATTTTCTGTTTGTCATCTTGTTTCATAGACATTTATGTTGGTTTGTCTTCTTGTTACTTTGTTAGCTGAGTAAAAGTTCCCTCTACCCAAATTCTCTTGCCTTTTATTCCTAACAAGACCCCTTGCTTATTAAAGCCTGAAGCTTCCTCATGCTATTCCTTTTTTATATGACGTAACTTTCTTTTTTTCTTTTTAATAGAGATAGAGGTCTTGCTATGTTGCCTAGACTGGTCTATGAACTCCTGGTCTCTGTGATCCTCCTGCCTCAGCCTCCCAAAGTGCTGGGATTACAGGCATGAGCCACTGGTGCCCAGCCTTGTGTATCATAACGTTTTTACAATAGCTCTACCTTACTTTTTACAGTGCTACTCCTCTTTTAGTCTTATTTCATATTTTCATCTGTTCACTCATTCAGCAAACATACCAGTTAATAAGACCCTGGTCCCTGTCCTGTGGCACTTAGGAAGGTCAGATGAAATGCTACTTTTTGCATGAAGCCCTTCCTGACCTCATTAACTGGAAGTAATACCTTCCTCTCCTGATGCCCACAGACGTACTGTTACATTTAAAAATTTTTCCATGTTTTTTTTTCTATTCAAGCTAGATAATAAACTCCTTGAGGCAGGGACAGCTAATTGCATGGAAGTAATCAATTATAGTAGAATATTAGATGTGTTAGGCATTAAATTGCTTGTTCTAGTCAGATCACTAAAATGTTGATTTCACTAATAACCAGTTGGGGTATAAGTGCAAAGCTAAGATTTGAATTCTAGTTGTGACACTACAGCCTGTGCTTAACTATTGTATGCATTGTTCCATGGTGTTTGGTTTCACATTTATCAGTAATATAACCTTGACCTTTTGTTATTTATTTATGTTTTTGACCAGAGACCCATCTATTTTGGATAGTTTAGATTTGAATGAAGATGAACGGGAAGTACTCATTAATAATATTAATAGGCGCTTAACCCCACAGGCTGTCAAAATTCGAGCAGGTAAATGATTTTCTAGATGATTTTTACAATATTTTGCATGCATCAAAAAAGCTATTAAATAATGAGACTTACCAAAGTATATGTTGCTACATCAACATCTATAAATTTTTCTAAATGTTTGTTTTTTATAACAGAAGCTTAAGAAATTATTTTGGCTTCTGAATCATAAAATTTATATATTGACACAAGTAGAAACAGTCTTGTGAGTTCAGCTAACCTAAAGGTAGCCCTTTTTTTAAAAAGAGGGGTTTGATTGTTTTGTTTTAGTACATACTTTAAAATATTCCAAATGTTTACAAAGATGGGACATACCATGCAGAATTTTCTCCCAACTAGCCTTTTCCACCCAGTGTATCATAGGTACCCTTCCATTGCAGAACATAGGAATCTTTCTCATTCTTTCTTATGCTAGGTAATGTTTCATAGAACAGATAAACCTTAACATAAACCAGTCCCCTCTTGATGAACATGTAGGTTGTGCCAGTTTTCTCACGTTACAAGAAAAAAGCTACAAATTAGCACCCTTATATTATACATACATACCCATTTACACAAATGTTCTTCAAGACAGATTCCTAAAAGTAGAATTTCTTAGTCAAAGGGTAATACAATTTCTGAACCGTTTTAGATAAATTGCAGTTACTGTTAACATTCCATCTTTACCACACTCCTCCTTCCCTCCATTTTATAAATAAGGAACTGCAGTATAGAGAGGTTGGATTCAGGGTATTTGAATACTAGTATATCTGCCACATGTTTGATTTCCTTTAAACTTTTAAGTATTTTTTGCATTTTTTGGTATCAACTTTTGAACTTTTGTAATTGTAGATATTGAAGTGGCTTGTTATGGTTATGAAGGCATTGATGCTGTAAAAGAAGCCCTAAGAGCAGGTTTGAATTGTTCTACAGAAAACATGCCCATTAAGGTGAGTTGTCAGTTGTCTCCCTTCCGACTGAAATGCCCACCTAAACCAAATAGGATCTTTGATCTTTGTTTCGATTTTTTTTTTAATCACGTTTCATAACAAAAGTGGGTTTTTTTGCTCTTAAAATTGAGCAGTGGTTCTTGGTAATATTTCTAGGTATTTGTGATTTATGTTTAGGCTTTTTTGGTTTCTACTGTTACTATCACAGTGGATGGAGATTCCTATTGGTAGAAAGCCAGAGATGCCAAACCTCCTTTACAATAAAGGGTTGCTGTGCCCAAAATACTGATAGTACTGTAAAAAAGAGTAACACTTTCTTCTATCTGTACACATACAAATTTTATGAGGTTTGATCAGAATCTTTCATTAGTGATAAAATTAACTGGATGACTGTAACTCAGAATCTCGTAGAAGGATTCTTCCATCAGTTTAATTCAGAGACAAATTATCCATTATACTGATGATAACTGCAGTTAATTTAGCCACCAAATGTAACCCAGAAATGATAATTCTTTGTATTCAGTATTGCAGTGGACTGTTTATACTGCATTAGATCCCTGTATTGATTTGCTTTTGCTACATTAACAGATCACCCCAAAACATAATTGCCAATTCTGTAGGACCCTAAATTTCTGTCCTATAGAATTGGCAATTACATTTTGGGGTGATTTGTTAACACAGCAGATTAATAAAATCTCAAGCATCCTAATAGTTGTGGGTTCTATAGGTACATTCATAATTGAATTTCTGTCTTTCTCTTTTAGATTAATCTAATAGCTCCTCCTCGGTATGTAATGACTACGACAACCCTGGAGAGAACAGAAGGCCTTTCTGTCCTCAGTCAAGCTATGGCTGTTATCAAAGAAAAGATTGAGGAAAAGAGGGGTGTGTTCAATGTTCAAATGGAGGTGAGATCAATAGATTCATTTTTAATAATGACTCAGGAGGTTTCTAAAAGAAGTTCTTGTAGGTAAATAAGAGCTGTCAGCCTTGGAATGTCATATTGTAGGATGGTCATTCAGGCCTTTGATCACTAATGGTGTTAGGGGTCACCCCCCACCCCCAGCCAGGAGGAAGGGAATAAACAATATAAATGAGAAGTTTTTTTATTGTTTGAATTTGGATGTGGCGTATCTAAAATTTGATCTCACAATTGGGGAAAAAAAGTTGTCTCCTGTCTTTTCCTTGTCCAACAAGAAAGAAACGTGTGTGTGTGTGTTATATAATGGTTCCTTCTATGGAAAGGACTAGTAAGCTAGTAAGTAGTAGTTTGAGCCTGGAAGATGGTTTTTTTTAACAGGACATCTATTTGTGGTCTTGAAAGATACAGCCACTGGGGTTATTTCATGTTTTCAGTTTTAGCTTATAAAAATGAGAGAAAATAATTTTCCATTTTAATACATACATCCTTTTTCTATACTATTCTCATAAGTTTCACCTATTATTTATGTAATGGAATTTATTAGTAACGTCACTCAAAAGTAAACAGATATTATGATAGAGTTGTTAGAAAAGTGTTAAAGAGAGAAAACATTAGGCAGTAATAGTATTGAAATTAAATTTGTATAGTATTTACTACTTCAGTTTGAAATTATAATACTCTGCTTCCACAGCCCAAAGTGGTCACAGATACAGATGAGACTGAACTTGCGAGGCAGATGGAGAGGCTTGAAAGAGAAAATGCCGAAGTGGATGGAGATGATGATGCAGAAGAAATGGAAGCCAAAGCTGAAGATTAACTTTGTGGGAAACAGAGTCCAATTTAAGGAACACAGAGCAGCCCTTCCTGGCTGCAAATCCTAGACTTGAAAGTTTTCCAGTATTGAAAACTTCAAAGCTGAATATTTTTTATTTCTAAGTATTTAAATGTTCTAACAGATCGGAACATGAAATGCCCTCCTAAATGTCAGCTGTTGTCACACAGTAGCTCCAACACTTTGAGCATTTTTAAGGGAGTGGCCTCATTTCACTAGAGACAAATCTTTAACAATAGTTCTAAAATTGGGCTTGTGATTTCCATTTCTGATGTCTCCAGATTGGCACCCCTTTCTAGTTCAATGCCTCACGAGATTTACCAGGGGCATCCAAAGCAAACAATCCCAATCTTTCTATATAAAATGTATTCAAACAAACATCAAATAAATTTCTGGGATATTTAACTATAGGCTTCTTCCTTCTTGTCACCAGTTAAAAGCATTTTGAATACTAAGACCCTAATTCTTTTATCCTTATTTTAGTCTTGACGTGGAACTGTAGGAGCAGGTGAATAAAGGATCTCTATAACAGATCCTTTCAAAAGAAGAGTTTAGAGAAAATAAATGTAACCACAGTGCAAGTTGACCCTTAGCGGGACAAAGCCTTAAAATGCAATGGAAGAATTAAATTGGTTCTGTGCCTTTTATCTATTCGAGATTGATGACAACTTGTGTGAGGGAATTTATCACACCAAGTCCTTATTGGTATAATAAGCTACTTGCCTTGAGTTTATAATTTAGGGTGGTAAAGTATGTTTTTAAAATTTAAAAAGCAGCTGCGTTTTTTAGTTGGAGTATCATCACCCAATTTTTGATTTTTATTCGTGATATCTACTAGGTGCCACCTAGAGCTCCAGTTCTTTATAACAAAACAGGGATCTGTTTGAACACTTACTGTTGTTGGTTTTTTTGGTTTTTTTTTTTTACATGTTTCCATTTCTGTCTTCAAGAATTAATTTGTACATAATAAGTTTCATAGGTAACACATTATTTGAAGTTACAGCTACATTTAGTCCGGTGTGGAAAATCTTCAGTTGCTTTGGTCTGCTTGTCTTCATAAATTTATTCTGTTACGATACTTGAGGTACCAGTTGTATTTAATTTTATTCATTATCCCTATATAGCTATTAAGATACTTAGATTAGACCTAACCCACCATAGTCAATCCAAGACTAGACTACTCAATATTAAAGGGTCTGGAAAATAGAAGAGTGTGTTGGGCAGATAGTTTGTACCATTTATGAAGGTTTGCTCCTTTGTTAAATTTAGCAGCCTGTACTAGCTTTTGAAATCCAAAAGTTTTAACTTCCAACGGCTGGTTTCTGAGAGAGTGCCATGATTGCTAGCCAGCATTCCACATTGGGAATATGTAGAGGAGAACCTGGATGTACTTAGTGGTACATAATTTTCACTTCTGTCTGTTGAGGCATCAAAAAAACAAGTTTAGAAAGCTGGCAACATGAAGAATGCATTCAAAATATAACAGGTGCTCCTTTGTTGTACACAGAGGAATTTTTTTTTTTTTGAATTTTTTACTGAAATTTGTTTTACTTCAAAAGCCATAACTTGAAAAATACTGGTGGCATCGATGGTGATTTTTATCCCACGTGGGCCTTTTGCTCAGTTCCATGACAATTTTGTAAATTGACCCTAGCCAGAGAATAGATCAGTATTTCACTGATACCATGAGGAAAAGAACAAACAAAACTTAAAGCGTGCATACACCTTGCTAACCTAAAAGCAGGGACAAGATAAATATGAGGACAAGTTATACACCCAGTTCTGAATAACTTGAAGAACAGGCTTGGCAAAGAAGTAAGTTTATCCAAATCTTGACTTTCTGCCAGGCACAGTGGCTCATGCCTGTAACCCCGGCACTTAAGGGGCCAAGGCAGGAGGGTCACTTGAGGCCGGTGAGCTGTGATCACTCCAGTGCACTCCAGCCTGGGTGACAGATCAAGACGCTGTCTCAAAAAAAAAAAAAAAGCCAAAAGTCTTGAATCTCCCATCAAAGCCTTTTCATTAAAAATACGATTTCATCTACTCCCCACTGTACCTTTCATTGATGTCAAGTGGCTATCAATTAATATAGCTGAAAATTAGTGATAGTTTGGGTCTCATTTATACATAAATTAATTGAGAATGAGTAATGGCCAGGAGGAAATACGAATATTCAAACCAGTTTTTATTCTTTCTTTCTTTTTTTTTTTTTTTTTTTCTTTTGGCAAATGGTGTTATATTGCCCAGGCAGGTCTCGAAATCCTGGGCTCAAGCTGTCCTCCTGCCTCTGCCTCTATAAGAGTATGAGCCACCATACCCCACCCAAACCATTTTTCATATCAGTTATAGCAAAACAAGACAAGCCAGTTCTTAAGTGAATAATGTTCAAAGATAGATCCATAGAGACATGCTAAGCACTACATCATGGTAAGCAGAACAGTTATTACTCAGCTGCCATACTCCAGCCATTCTACTTTTACACCAAGAACAAAATGCCTGGAGATTTTTTTAAAAATACAAATGCCACTACCTTGCCGAGACTTGTTCACTGATTTGCCCCAACCCCAAGGTAATGGTCATCTACTTTGCAACCTATGGAGATCCTGATAGCTCCCATACAAAGTGAGGCACACGTGCCAATTTGGAGGCAGGAAGCCATCAAACTAAATGTAGTTTAATTCAGATAAACACCTATCGATATTCAAAAGGCAAAACAAAAAAACTAATTCCAAGGGCATTAGACCTTGGTGAAATGCCAAATGGAAAATGGTGCTTTAAAAGGTAGTCTCTTACCATATAAGGAATAAGTAAAACATTAGCTTGGGATTTCTCATTATTCAGGTCAATGTTTTAGACACGATTAACAAGAGACAGTTCGAACTATTTAAGAGGACAAATTTTTACTTAAGCACTTTGAAGTATCCACTCCCCTTAAATGTAAGTTATGTATTTTATCTGTTGATTAAGGGGAGGTCCAAGCATTTGTACTTGGCAAGAATGCTGGCAATAGCTTGTGCCAGATTACTGTATAAACTTGAAAGGAATAAAAATGTTCTTAAAAAGTATTGTATGATACAGACTTTTCACTACAGATTAACCTCCCAACCGGTGAAGTTTCTTGGTACCTATTTGTCTCAGCTTATGTTCATTTTAAAACCAAAATTTAATGTCTTGATATAAACCTTCCCCGTTTACATCTTTTTCTGTCCTTCAGAGCACTCTTACTCTGCATCTCTAAATGCCCATTTTTCATAGAAAAGCTATGTATGTATTTTTCATATATGTGATTAAGTTCTCCGACAGAGTCCATGACTTCTGTAATGTATAATATTTATGCAGGCTTGTTTTCTAAAGCAAAACAATATTCTCTGAATGTACAAAGTTTGGCCACCATCCCCACTTTAAGATGAAGTATGTCTTAATGACAGAGATACTTGAAATGTTGCTTGAAAACTATAAAACTTTATATGGGACTCTAATAGCCAGAAACAAATGTCAGCTTTTACTAATTCCAAAGAAGTTAAGAGAGAACCGCATAAGAAGAGAGTTTTATTCAACATGGCATGGCCAGTGTAATTGTTCCAACAAAGGGAACCTACTTTGGTGCCCGAGGAAATGGCTGTTTGTGATGCTGGGGAAAAGTCAAGATGCTGACGCCTAATGGCTGTTCTAGCCTTTCCAGGTTTGTAACATGAAGATGAGGAAGGAAATGGCATCATTGCTGTTTGTAATCTGAGGAACTCTTCAGCATTCACTCTCCAAAGCAGTACGAAACTTACAAAGAAGTCAAAAGTCTTAACACACTCCCATTCTCCAGGAATTCCTGTCTGTGTCATCTGGTAGGAGGGAGGAATCCTGGTTCCCTCAGGTCCTTGTCATGTTAGCTTTTTGATAGCTTCAATCCACTCAGCTCGCTCAGCCTTGCTGCTGGCCTGAATGTAATAGTGTGTGTCATCCTTAGTAATCACTTTGAAGAGGTTTCCCTGGACATTCCCTTTAACCCCTAGGCAGAAAAAAGAGGGCGGGGGGATCAGTGATTGAATAGCCATGTTTGCTTTCACCTTGAACCAGCAGAAAGTCAACTGAGACATGGACAAAAACATACAATGACGTATTTATTAAAAGGTATACAGTTAGAGAATCCTATCAGATGAGGTCCCCTTTTCCTCCCATTCCCTGTCCCTCACCAGTGCCCTAAGGCCTGTCAATGGTTATGTCTGGATATTCCTGGAAGCCCTCTTGCCTGCTCCTATGCTCAAGATGGTAGCATGCTATAGATCTACCATTTCATTTACACCAAAGAATCCAGTATGTTTATGTTAAAAGCAAGCACAGAATTTGGAGTTTGATCTCAAATTGTTTAACTTATTGGAACCCCAGTTTCCACAGCCATAAGATGGGAATAATATCTTCTTACTATGGCTGGCTATTGTGAAATTCCTGTTACAATATATATTAAGGTATGTTGTTAACCCTAAAGCATTGTGTAAGCCTCAGCTATTATTTTTACGTGGAAGCTTACAGGCCATCAGCATAGAAACTGAGGGGAAAGATTAATAACATAAGGATTACTTAGTTGCATTCTTAAAACGCCAAGAACATACCCTTTGTTCAATTCTGAAAATCGCTTCAAAACTCACACCACTCTGTCTCATTGAGAAAGCCTTGCTCAGCTTCCAAAGCTGTCGTTTCATTAGTGGGACGTTACTGAGGTGCAGGAGGGAGGCCCCTGAGATCTTCAGGCCAGGGCTGAAGTTGCACCTTACCAGTGGGAACGCCATTATCCTCCAGAGCAGACACGAGTGAACCACGAAGAGAAAACCCACCCACTGGCCTGTTCTCTTCCTGCAGAGGAAAGGAGACCCAATTAGGAATTTGTGAATGCACTCCCCTTACAACTCAGGCCAGCTAAAGAAGTCAGTGCAAAATCATTTGTAATAGAAGATGAAGCTGAACTTGGACATCACATGGCCAAAGCTGTAGGCACCAGTAAGGAAGCTTGGGCCTCTGTTTCACAGCAGGCAGCAGAAGTGCCCACCAATGTTGTAGTTACCAAGTCTCGCAGACTTGCAAATTTGCTTTTCATTCCTGGAGATGTCTCAAACAGAGCCTCTGATCCAACATGCTGCACAGAAAAACATTCACTGGCTTCCTTAACCCTTGTGTGCATCTTACAAAGCAATCAGAAATATATATTTATAGTAATCATTTCTTTTTTGAGACAGAGTCTCACTCTGTCTTCCAGGCTGGAGTGCAGTGGCACAGTCTCGGCTCACTGCAACGTCTGCCTCCCAGGTTCCAGTGATTCTCCTGCCTCAGCCTCCCGAGGAATCGGGATTACAAGCACACGCCACCACACCTGGCTAATTTTGTATTTTTAGTAGAGGCGGGGGTTCATCATGTTGGCCAGGCTGGTCTTGAACTCCTGACCTCAAGTGATCTGCCCTCCTCAGCCTCCCAAAGTGCTGGGATTACAGACATGAGCCACCGCACCCAGCCATAGTCATCATCTCTGCAAAGTTGATAGATTCCTGCACATAGGACATCATTACACAAGTCTAGCATGTGCCTAGCATGAAACTTCGTGTGATACAAAACTGTGATTGGTGGTGTCCCTGGATGATTTAGGGCAATTTTACACACCACGTGCCTTGGGCCCCAGGAGCCCTTCAATTAATCAATAATCAACTTCATACTGCATGTTGGGCCCAGCAAGAGGGAGGGCAAAAAACAAAATGGTTAAATAAAATACTGGAAATATTTGTACTACTAAATGCTAATAGGAGGAAAGTTCAGAGAAGGAAGGGATCTGCCCCAGCCTGGAGGGTTCAAGGGCAGTCTCAGGGAGGACAGGAGACTTGAATTGGGCCTGGATAGGAAAGTAGGTCCCCGGGCAGGAGAGGGGCATTCGGCCCAAACAGGAGGAGGAGTGGGAGTAAAGTGGGGAACAAATTAATTGCAGAATGCCTTTGAGATGGTTCCTTATCTTGTACCTGCAGCCCAGAAACTTGGCAATTCTTTTATTTCCTTTGCACACTTGCTTTGAGTAATCTCTTCTGCACTGTTTCCATCTATGTACATATGTGAGCATTTGTGCGTGTGTACATATATATGTATATACGTATATTTACATGTATATGTACTTATAGATAGGTGTGTACAGGCACATATGTGTGTATGTACATTTTCTGTTTCCTATTTTAAAAGCTGAGACAAGGCCGGGCGCGGTGGCTCAAGCCTGTAATCCCAGCACTTTGGGAGGCCGAGACGGGCGGATCACGAGGTCAGGAGATCGAGACCATCCTGGCTAACACGGTGAAACCCCGTCTCTATTAAATAATACAAAAAGCTAGCCGGGTGAGGTGGCGGGCGCCTGTAGTCCCAGCTACTTCGGAGGCTGAGGCAGAAGAATGGCGTAAACCCAGGAGGCGGAGCTTGCAGTGAGCTGAGATCCGGTCACTGCACTACAGCCCGGGCGACAGAGCTAGACTCCATCTCAAAAAAAAAAAAAAAAAAAAAAAAGCTGAGACAGCAGACTCATCAGGGGCACAAAGAAAGTAGGTTAGGCTAGACCATGGTGAGAGTTAAATACAAAACTAAAGTGTTTTTTCATTTGTTTATTCCTTGCTTCAAACAGGATTTGAGGTAGCCAGGAAGGAAGGAGTTTGAACTCCATCCTGTAGCCAGGCCACCATGACCCACAGAAAGGTCAACTGGAGCTTTTTGGAGGCTCCTCCTGCCACATCCCTCGCCCTGGGCCCTCCTGTGGCCTGGCTGGGTCCAGGCAGGGGTTCCTGATTGAAGCTCAGTGAGGAAGGAACTGCCCACTCTTCACTATTTCAACAAAAACTAATGAAAGTCATACATCGCCCAAGACAAGGCTGAACTGCTAACTAAGGGGACCTTTTTATTTGCTTTTGACTGGAATTAGATCCACTCAGCATGTGGTAATACCTAGTATCAGAAACAGAAAAATGGTTCTTTTTAATTTGCCATCAAAATTTTTTAAAAAGCAAATTAGTAAATTATGGCTTAAATATTATATGGTGACAGAAACTTTTCAAAACATAGGTGGGGAAAAGCAGAGGGACGCAGAATTAATGGGGTCTCTGAATGGAAAGTGTGGAGAGGCTGGGAAGTGCCAGTAGGAGTCTCTGTCAGCCTACCTCATCCTCCCTACTCACAAAGCAGGCTTTGGGGAAGACCAAAAAATGCTTTTCCTCTGAAAATGATAAAGATGGGCCTCCCAGGGGAAAGTGGGGGATTAGGCATAGAAGAAACCGCTCAAGAAAAAGGCACCTATGTGATGACAGGGCAGAGCAGCTTGGACTGTGGAAGGAAAGGCAAGGTGCAGCAGAGGCAGGTGCCAGGGGAAGACAGGATGTCCAGCCAGCTGCCCGCTGTGCCAGGAGAGGAGTGTCTGGGGGCATCACAACACGGGACCAGCACAGAGCCAGCATGCGCACTCACTTTGGAAGGGTCGTAGTAATGCAGGAAAGCTGGATCCTTCCTCAGAACAAAGCGGCGCACCTTCCAGTTTTTCCTCTTGTGCCCCTGAGGCAAAGAAATGGTTCCAAGTTCATTGGTGATAGTTGCATGTCCCTCTCTCCTGCATCTATGCATGTAACAGCAAACCCCCAACAAGCCAGCCTGCTCCAATGGGACTACATGCTAAAACCAGTCCGCAGGAAACCTAAGGATAGCAATGACATCTCACAGACCTCCCTGCCAACACCCCCACTCAATGACACTTTAGCAAAAACGCCATCACCTTAAGTCGGCAGAGCCAAAGACAGTCCATGCAGAAGGAAAAGGGACACACACCACTCAGGGCATAAAGGAGGACAAGGAGGCAGGAGGTGTCAGCTGGGCTGGGAGGACACAGGTAAACTTGAGCCCAAGGGCACCAGCTAAGGGCCACGTCAGTCCAAAAACAAACCTTCAGCTGCATGTGTATTTGTCAGTCTACACATGTGCCTACATGTGCAGTAAAACCACTTTCACATTGCGCTTTAGGAAAAAAGCAAGTAATGATCAATTATATGATAAAACCTAAATGTGTAAGAAGCTGACATGTGCGTGTGTGTGTGTGTGTGCACATGTGTGTGTGCGTGTGTGTGTGTGACTTTCTTTGACCTCACTGGGAGGGCTAAGGTTAGATCACAAACCTTAGCCCTCCTAGTCAGGAACACCCTCAGAGTCCCTCCCACACCCTCCTCAAGCTCCCCTAGGGGCCTCTTTTCCTCCCCTTGGGAAGGACTCCTATCAGGCCCAGCAGAAGCAGGGCCTTGGCGCAGACAGGCAGCGGTGGGGATGATAAGAATCTAAGAGCAGATGAGGATCCTGATATGCAAGAAGCAGGTGACAGCAACAGCACATGCTCCGAGTAATGATGGGAGTGGCGCCAAGCCATGTACGTGCCCTCTGTGCGGACACACACATTTGCATGGTATACAACATGTGCACAAACACGAGAGCCGTGCAAAATGTCTGCTTCACTTCCTGTGCCAAGGACAGGTGATTTTGTTCACAGAATACCGTTTTTGTTAGGCACAGGTAGGAATGCCACAGGACACGGCTTGCCTCTGGTTCAACACAGCTGCTCTCCCAAACACAGTTTAGGAGTAGTGGCCATGGCCAGGCTTTGAACACTGAGCCTTACCATGGAGAATCTGATCTTCAACCTACCGACATGGTAGAAAAAATTGTTTTTAGCTCAGAAAGTGTATCAAGGGGGTGTGCAGAATCTCACAAGGGAAGGCAGAGACCCCAGGATGCCCCAAGGAACAGAAGGCCAGCAAATGCAAAACCTCAAGCCGGTCAGCAATGCCTCCAAGACAAATATGTGAAGCTGGGCAATTCTGTAGAAGTTGTTTTTTGATGTTGTGATAATTATGTGTGTATAGTACAGTTTTCCTGAACAGCCCTTGTGTCTGGCACACGTGTGTGTGTGAGCGTGAGCATGTGCCTGTTCTTTGACTTGCTTCTGGGGGCTGGCTGGGCTCCTGCTTTCATAGATTCTGCTATAATTGGTGCCCTCCAGCAGCCTCAGCCCTTCCCTTCCTCTGTGCTCACTGCTGCCTCCCCTAAGCTTGAGAACTGTCCATCTCTCTTCCCTGCTCCAAAGCAGCCATACCTGCTTGGCCAGGTAGCCTTGTTTCACCACCATGCCACTTAACTCCACAGTGCTCAGGTTAATTTCTTCCTTGGGGCTTATCTTCTTTTTGTAGCTCTCAGCCTAGGGGGAAAGAGGGAACAAAGACTCTGCTATAGCAAATACCCAGGCCCAAGCTATGGCGGCTGTCAGAGGGGAAAGGAAATTCTTCAGGACAGAAACCTCATTCTGCATCAGGATGAAGTCGTCCCCCAAGCCCAAGGTCTCCTCCCGTGACTGTGGACCCCAGGCCCCCACTCTGTTGTATCTTCCTTAACCTTTGCCCTGGTGGCAAGAAGAACCCACTCCCCAACTTACAAAAGTATACAGGGCTGTAGAGTCATCCAGGAACTGCTCGGCCAGATCCCCAGAGCGAATGGCTCCCATGCTTCGGACACCCACCGGCCTGAGGAAGTTCTCCTCCATGAGCATGGAGGCCAGGGTCACCGCCTCCAGACGGCTGGCCACAAAGCTGTTGGAGATGAGCCAGTCCACCAGGGAGGAGCCTGGCCAAGGGCAGCACCAGTCAGGCAACAGGTAACGGACCAGCGTCCTTGGGGTGTGTGGCCAATGACCTCACTGACCTTAGCCCTCTGGGCAGCCTCAGGGCTCTACCCAAGAGCAGACTGAAGGCCATACCTGCTGCATAGAGCTGTGGCTGCACACCCACACGTGGCCATCTCAGCCTGTTGCCCAGCAGGAAGCTCTGACCTCAATATAGGGTGGTCAAGCACACAGTTGAGCCCTGCATCACCATGTCCCAGGTTGACCGCCCAGCCCGGCCCTGGGGAACAGGCTCACCGAGGAAGGTCTTTTTGTAGGTGCTTCCCTGCTCCATGTTGGGGCTTGAACGGATTCCGGTGCTGCTATCATGCATCTTGTCCACAATGCGACTACACAGAAGGGAAGGCAAAGGAGAGGGAACCCTCGTCACGCTGGTAGGTACAAGGGAGGGTCCTGAGTCACTGCTAAGGGTATAAAGCAAGTGGCAAATGGTGTGACACACATAACAAAAAAAGGGGGTATAGGAAAGCAGCCTTTTGCATGGCCAGAGTGATGCCATCTTGAAGTGAAGCCACTGTGATGATTGATTTTTGTTTTTTGTTTTTTGTTTGTTTGTTTTTTGAGACAGAGTCTCGCTCTGTCACCCAGTCTGGAGTGCAGTGGTGTGATCTCGGCTCACTGTGACCTCTGCCTCCCAGGTTCAAGTGATTCTCCTGCCTCAGCCTCTGGAGCAGCTGGGATTACAGGCATGTGCCACCACGCCCGGCTAATTTTTGTAGTTTTAGTAGAGACGGGGTTTCACCATGTTGACCAGGCTGATCTCGAACTCCTGACCTTAAGTGATCTGCCCGCGTCGGCCTCCCAAAGTGCTGGGATTACAGATGTGAGCCACTGTGCCTGGCCTGATGATGGATGTTTGACTCCCGCATACCATGGTGTTCCCATAGCGCAACTCACCCCTCATAAAGATGTTTATCTAACCTCCCCAGCGGTCACAGGTTTCACAAGAAAGTCTGAGGCACGACTAGCTGCACATTTTCCCAAAAAAGCTTGCTATAGAAAGGATATTTTCTGGAGGACAAGTGTGGTGATTCACTGTCTCTTGGCCAGCAGAGACATCACTTCTGTTTGTAAGTCCCTATTAAATGCCTCTTTGTGAGAAACTGGATTTGTCAGCCTCTTTCTTCTGCCTCTCAGCTACCTTGTTCTTTGCAGGTAGGTCTGTTTATACCTCCTCACCACAGAAGGGGGTGTTCAGTTATGCATCAAAATTTGAGAGGCAGGATTTTCAGACATTTCTTTTCTTCTTCTTGCTTATCTAAATGTTCTAGTATTTCTATGCCAGACACATACTGCTTTTGTAGTAAAACCAAAGTGCTGTGACTTTTAACTTACAAACAAGAGTGTATGCTGGGCACAGTGGCTCACACCTATCATCCCAGTGTTTTGGGATACTGAGGTGGAAGGATCACTTGAGCCCAGGTGGTCAAGGCTGCAGTGAGCTATGATCGAGCCACTGCACTCCAGCCTGGGCAACAGATTGAGACCCTGTCCCAAAAAAAGAAAAACAAAAAAAGCCCCAAGGGTGCACAGTAGCCCACATGATTCTCTGTGATCCCCCTGCATTAAGTCCAAACCCCCTCAGCTACTTTTTGAACTATCTTTGAACCCACCTGCCTACCCACCCTTATCTGCAGCTGATCCTCCCTGCACCCACCAGTGTTCAGCAGCTCCCTAGACCCATAGGAGGTGTACAGTCAAGGTTTCAGCGCCTGGTGAGCCCAGGAATGGACTCATACATCTTTGATGGGTGTAACAGTTCTGTTGCCTGGGAGGTTGGTGGAGATTTACTGTGGTTTGAATGTTTATCCCAAAAATCATGTTGAAAATCCCCAATGTGGCAATATTGAGAGGTGATGCCTTTAAGAGGTGATTGGGTCATGGCGGCTCTGCCCTTGTGAATGGATTAATCCATTCATGGATTAACGGGTTAAATGAGTTAATGAATTATCATGGGAATGGGACTGGTGGCTTTATAAGAGGAACAGAGACTGCAGTAAGCATGTTAGCATGTTCAGCCCCCTCACTGTGTGATGCCCTGCACCACCTCAGGACTCTGCAGAGAGCTCCCATCAGCAAGAAGGCCCTCACCAGATGCAGCCCCTCAACCTTGGACTTCCCAGCCTCTATAATGATAAGAAATAAATCCCTCCTTATGAGTTACCCAATTTCAGGTATTCTGTTATAAGTAACAGAAAACAGACTAAGACAAGATTTTTAGGGAGCTGTGATGGAGGAGCCCTGAGCACCCTGGCTGAAATGGAATGGGGGTCTTGTGTCATGGAGGTGTGCAGAGGTGGCAGGAGCCACAAGAGATCCCACAGAAATGGGGCAGGTAGGTAGGGCCACTCCCAAGCAGAGAAAATCATATACACAGGACAGGAACAGCTGAAGGCCCTGAAGCACTGTGGTAGCACCAGCCAGGCTATGAAGCAAGCACAGAGCCCCTCCAAGGGGCAGGGTGCCCTGCCCACCAAACACAGGCAGGAAAGGCTGCCACAGAGCCCGGCAAGCAGGCACTCACTGCAGGCTGATGTGCGGGGGCAGCTTGAAGGAGTTTCTCAGGCTGTGCAGCTGCTGGACCTTCCCCGGCTGCCCTGCGTGAATAGCCCCGGTTATCTCAAAGGCCCAGGCATCCCGCTCCTCTCGAGAACAGGCCTCCAGGAAGTACTCTGTGGATGTTTGAGTCTTCAGCTTAATGAGGAGCTGTGGGAAGAGACAGCCAGTCAGACCAGCACGCAGGCAGAGCAAGAGGACGCCAGGCAGCAAAAATGACGGGACCCCGGGAGAATCTAGGTGACAGTGACTGCCAAATGCCCTGAGCCCTCAGCCACACAGCAGGTGGTCTTTAAAGATTCACTTGGACACCTCCAGTGACAGGAAGCTCACGGCCTCACACGGCAGCCTTTCCCTTGTGGACAAGGCAGTTAGTGTAGGGCCTGCTTCCTGGACATGCTAGCTGTGTTCTCTCTTCTAGAACCACACAAATGAAGAGTCACCTCCTATGACAGCCCCTACACTGAAGAGAGAAATGCCCAGGCTTCAAAGTCAGACCCATCTGAACACAAACCCCAGCTCTGCCACTTGGCTGTGGACTCCCGGGAACATTAGGAAATGACAGGATATTAATGCCTACCTCGAATGGACTGTTAGTCATGCTCCCTTCCGTCCTCTTTCCTTGTGTCTGAGCATCAAGTCTTTCACACATTTCTCATAGGATATAGTTTCAGCTCCTTCCCATCCAGGTCGCTTTGTTTTTTTTTTTTTTGTTTTGTTTTTTGTTTTTTTCTTGAGACGGAGTCTTGCTCTGTTGCCCAGGCTGGAGTGCAATGGTGCGATCTCAGCTCACTGCAACCTCCGGCTCCCAGGTTCAAGTGATTCTCCCGCCTCAGCCTAGGGAGCAGCTGGGATTACAGGCGCCCACCACCATGCCTGGCTAATTGTTGTATTTTTAGTAGAGACGAGGTTTCACCATGTTGGCCAGGCTGGTCTCGAACTACTGACCTCAGGTGATCTGCCCACCTCAGCCTCCCAAAGTGCTGGGATTACAGGCGTGAGCCACCGCGCCCAAACCCATCCAGGTCACTTTGTGCTACGTGTTCTACACTTGGTCAACATTCTCATAAATACAGTGCATGGAATGGAACACACAGCTCCAGGAGAAGTCTGAGCCCACTGGCTGTGGGCAGCTGCAGGGCACTGTAGACTCACTCAGTGCTGTCAGAAGAGAATCTTTTTCATGTAGGCCACTTCTCTATCTTTTAAGTGTACATTTATGGGATTTTTTTGGATCAATTGTGGGATTGATAGGAGACTATTAATCGGGTGGTAGGTGGATCCATCACTTCTGTTGGAAAACAGAAGCATTTTATTTCATTCTGAATCTGTTTTCCAAAGGATTCTCTCCCAACTTACTTTGCTTACAAACTTAGTCAACGTCCCTCATCCAAACTAAATGGTGAATAAGACATGGCTGGGCTGGGCGCGGTGGCTAACGCCTGTAATCCCAACACTTTGGGAGGCCGAGGAGGGCGGATCACGAGGTCAGGAGTTCAAGAGCAGCCTGGACAATGTGGTGAAACCCCGTCTCTACTAAAAATACAAAAATTAGCCCGGCGTGGTGGTGGGCGTCTGTAGTCCCAGCTACTCAGGAGGCTGAGGCAGAAGAATCACTTGAACCCGGCAGGCGGAGGTTGCAGTGAGCCAAGATCGCGCCCCTGCACTCTAACCTGAGTGACGGAGAGAGACTCTGTTTCAAAAAAAAAAAAAAAAAGACATGACTGGTTCGTGGTCCTAAAGAACACCACAGGCCGGGCTCAGTGGCTCACGCCTATAATCCCCAACACTTTGGGAGGCAGAGGTGGGTGGATCACTTGAGGTCGGGAGTTCAAGACCAGCCTGGCCAACATGGTGAAACCCCAACTCTACTAAAAATACAACAAGTAGCTGGGCGTGGTGCAAAATTGTGCCACTGAACTCCAGCCTGGGTGACAGAGTGAGACTCCATCTAAATAAAAACACACCCACCCACCACGGAGCTGCTCCTTCAGTAGTAGTAGCTTGACAGTGAGCTCATCACCACTGTGGAAGAACAGAGTTTAGCCAGCTTCCTGAACCCCTGTTGTCAGCCTGCAGTTCACCATTTCAATGAGCAGAATTTTAGGACACACTATAAAATTCCATGTAAAATTCTGACACTCTTTTTACACGTTCTCTAGTTTTAAAAAGTATGTGTGTATATATTTCATGATTTGCTCTTAGGGAATCTATTGGCTCCTCTTGATCTAGCCCAAGTACTCATGAACCAGGCAGGTGACAATTTGAGAATTTTATGTAGAATTTTTTCTTTTGAGTTAGGGTCTTGCTCTGCCTCCCAGGCTAGAGTGAAGTGACATGGTCATAGCTCACTGCAGCCTTGAGTTCCTGGGCTCAAGCGATCCACTTGCCTCAGGCTTCCAAAGTGTTAAGATAACAGGCGTGAGCCACTGCACCCAGCTGTGTCTGGTCTTAAGATGCTAAAAGGAAGAGGATGCAGAGCCCATCTTTTCCCAGGCTCAGCATCCTCCAATGGTCCTATAGCTACTCCAGCAGAAAACTACCCCTGCCTGACTTCCCACTTTTAATCAGTGACACCTCCAAGCTTGCAATGGAAATAATGGAATGACATTTCATTTGTGCAGCCTCCTAGGCTGGAATGATACTCGATGCCTCCTTTTCCCTTGTCCTCAACAGCCAGTCAGTCACCAAGTCCTGTTGACATTTCTTTCATAATGACTTCTCCTGTTCGTTTCTTCTTTTTGCTTTATTTAATGCCTAGATTATTTTAATAGCTCCTTTTGTTTTTTATTTGAGAAAAATATGAATTTACAGAAGAGTACAGAGGTAAACATAACAAATGCCAGTAAACCCACCACCCAGAATTAACCATCATTAATATTTTCTTATACTTAGAAGATTCCTTAATTGACCTCATTTGTCTTCAGTCTTTTTCTCTCCTGAACACGGCAAGTGTAGGAGAGTCAAAGAAGAAAAACATGATAAGAAAGAAAATGGTGAGATTCCTTTCTATGGACCTAGAAATCTTATTAGTAACTGAACTAAAACTAGTTCTTCCTTTTATTCTTTCTACACTTTTTTTTTTTTTCTCTGAGACAGAGTTTCACTCTGTCACCCAGACTACAGTGCAGTGGCACAATCATAGCTCACTGTAGTCTTGGACTTCTGGGTTCAAGTGATCCTCCTGCCTCAGCCTCCAAAGTTGCTGGGACTACCAACACCTGCCAACATGCCCATCTAATTTTTTTTTTAAGAGATAGGGTCTCACTATGTTGTCCAGGCAGGTCTTGGACTCCTGGGCTCAAGCTATCTTTCCATCTTGGCCTCCTGAAATGATGGCATTACAGGCATGAGCCACTGTGCCAGGCCTACATTTTTGTTTCTCTGAGATGTAGTCTCGCTGTGTTGCCCAGGCTGGTCTCAAACTCCTGGGCTTGAGTGATTCTCCCACCTCAGCCTCCTGAGCAGCTAGAATTACAGCCTTCATTTTAGTCTTTCTAAGAGAGTTTTCTTTTTTCTTTTTTTTTTTTTTTTTTTTTTTTTTGAGACAGGGTCTCACTCTGTCACCTAGGCTGGAGTGTAATGGCATGATCTCAGCTCACTGCGACCGCCATCTCCTGGGTGGGAGCAATTCTCCTGCCTCAGCCTCCTGAGTAGCTGGGACTACAGGTGCCTGCCACCACACCCAGCTAATTTTTGTATTTTTAGTAGAGACAGTGTTTCACCATGTTGGCCAGGCTGGTCTTGAACTCCTGACCTCAGGTGATCCGCCAGCCTCGGCCTCCCAAAGTGCTGGAATTACAGTCATGAGCCATTGCGCCTGGCCTCTAAGAGAGTTTTCATCAGACCATGCTCTCACTCAAAATCTTCAATGGCTCTCCATTACCTCCATCTGGCCCTAACCAAACTCCTATCACTCCTTTAGTGAACATTCCCCTTTGACCACACTGGAGGCCCTTCTCCCCAGAAGCCACACCCCCCTCTCTCCATGCATACTTTTCTTACTTTTACTCGAGACATTCTACCTGTCCAGAATGACCGCCTCTCTCCTTGTTCCATCTTTGCCCACATCTCTATTCCTGAAGTTTGCCTGACCCAGCCTGAAACATCTTTTTCCTCTTCAGGGATGAAGGGTTCTCTGCAGCTCCTGATAGCTGTGGCATCACTGGAATGCCAAATGTTTTTCAATTAACCACTTGCTTTCCCAATAAAATGAGCAACTCTGTGAAGAAACAATCTTACCATTTTCTTCCTTGATTCCTCCATGCCTTGCAAATTTCTTGGCACATAATGGGCCCTTGATAAATAATTTATTGGGAGTTTTTTTTTTTTTTTTTTTTGAGGAGTCTCGTTCTGTTGTCCAGGCTGGAGTGCAGTGGCGTGATCTCGGCTCACTGCAAACTCCGCCTCCCAGGGTCAATCTATTCTCCTGTCTCAGCCTCCCAAGTAGCTGGGATTACAGGCCACTGCAACCATGCTCAGCTAATTTTTGTATTTTTAGTAGAGATGGGGTTTCACCATGTCGGCCAGGCTGGTCTCAAACTCCTCACCTCAAGCAATCTGCCCATCTCGGCCTCTCAAAGTGTTGGGATTACAGGTGGGAGCCACTACGCCCAGCCTAGACTTTTTTAATGGTAGGGTTGAAGCCACCCCTTACTTCCGGAACACAGACCCTTCAGGGAATGAAAGCCATCATAGTGAATGAAGCCATCATAGTGAACCCCAAGATAGCAGTAATTACTCACATTGGTGTGGTGCCTGCCTCCTAGCCCACACAGTGCTCTAATACACCATGACCTTCATGGTCCTCACCACAACCATGTGAGACACTCAGGGGTAATTATTTAATCCCATTTTATAGATGAGGAACGAAGGCTCAGAGAGGTTTAGCTACTTGTCCAAGCTCACATACCTGGTAGGTGGCGGAGCCAGGATTTGAATCCAAGTTTTTAAATTCTCACTCTGAGCTCTTCCTCCTACCCAGACCACTTTCCCAAAGAGGCCAGAGGTGGGAAGGCTGTGGAACAGAGAGGAGTTGGACAGCAGGAGCTGTCACTTACCGGTCGGTTTTCATACTCCAGGCAGGGGCAGGTGATGGTGCAGCCATCCAAGAAGATCCGGCCCTTGGGAGGGGTCACTCTCCGACCCCCCTCAAGCTTGTAGTACACCAGCGTGTTCTGCCGAAGGATGAACCATCGCGCCTTCCAGTTGTGGACAATGTGGCCCTGTGGACAGACAAGAAAGCCCTGAGGTGAGGTGGCCAAGGGGAGGGGATGGTGTTCAGGGAGGGGTGTCCGGTGGCACAGGTAACCAGACTGTGCCGTGGAAGTGACTCTCCAAGGAAGACAGCAGGATTTGTGTCTGGATCTCTTTTGAGTATGTAGCAAAGACCTTTGGCACTGACCTTCTAGTTCCTATTTGGCCATTTTTCTGGTTATAAACCTTGAAAGAAACTACAAAGTAAAAAGAAGAGAAAAATCACTCACCTGTAATCCTACTGCTAGGAGACAGCCATTGCTAACCTACTGTATTTCCTTCCAGTCTTTTTTCCTTTTAGTTTTTGCCTTCTGGTTTTTTTAAAAAATTAAGATTATTTTAAATATAGTTTTATTTTCTAGTTTTTTTTTTTTTTTTTTAAATTCTTGTTTTATAGACAAGGTCTCAAAAGAGACAGGCTGGAGTACAGTGGCATGACCTCAGCTTACTGCAGCCTCCCCTTCCTGGACTCAAGTGATTCTCCCACCTCAGCTTCCCAGGTGGCTGGGACTATAGGCGTGTGCCACCACATCTGGCTAATTTTTACATTTTTGTGTAGAGACAAGGTCTCACTATGTTCCCCAGGCTGGTCTTGAAGAACTCCTGGGCTTCTGTGATCCTCTCACCTTGGCCTCCCAAAGTGCTAGGATTACATACATGAGCCACCATGCCTGGTCCCTGTTTTGTGTGGCCTTGCTGAGCATCTTCTGACACCATTAAATTTCTGTAAAACATATTTTTAATGACGATTATGTGGATACATAGTTTACATGCCAACTTCTATTGTTCGTAACTGAGGTTGTTCCATTTTTTTCACTATTCTGTAATGAATATCCTTGCATGTAAATTTTGACCTGCATCTGTTTTTTTCCTTTGGATATACTCGTAGAAAGAATATTACTAGTGAAATGATGTGGGCAATATGAGGCCATGTATAGTCTCCCAGTGCTAAGGACTCTGACAGTCTTACCTAGCCAGGTGTGGCAGGTATAAAGAAAAGGGTAGTTTAGGTGGTTCTCAGGTGGCAGGCATAAAGAGAAGGGTCGTTTAGGTGGTTCTCAGGTGGCAGGCATAAAGAGAAGGGTAGTTTAGGTGGTTCTCAGGTGGCAGTCACATAGAGAAGGGTAGTTTAGGTGGTTCTCAGGTGGCAGGCATAAAGAGAAGGTAGTTTAGGTGGTTCTCACGTGGGTGGTAGAGCCAACGGACAGAACAGTCAGGTGAATATGGAGAGCCTATTTCTAGAACAGACCAGTGGATAGGGAAATGTCTTCTGAGGGATCAGGAAAGAATGAGTTTAGTACACAGTCACGAAAGCACCTTCCTGGGATATTTCCAAAGCCCAGCTTAGGGCTAGGTTCTAACCAACAGAGGTGCTTTACCTGAATCAAAGTCCGTTGCCCCAATTTACTCATGTCCTTGCCTAGCACGGATTAATATCAAAGGCCCTTTTAGTTCTCAGTCTCTGGTGCTATGATTCTATTCCACACTCAGCACGTACTAAGAGCTGTTAGAGAGTCAAAAGTTGTAGAAGGAATCGTCTGCATCGAAGTTATTTGTGCATATAACTGAGCTTTGTGAGCACTGACTTGAACCCAAACAGAATTTACTGCTACAACTAAGTAAGACTTATAACACAGCCAATCTGACAAGAGTTTATTAACATGTCTCAGTGTTATTTATTTATTTTTTTTTTTTTTGAGACGGAGTCTCGCTCTGCTGCCCAGGCTGGAATGATGCAGTGGCCGGATCTCAGCTCACTGCAAGCTCCGCCTCCCGGGTTCACGCCATTCTCCTGCCTCAGCCTCCCGAGTAGCTGGGACTACAGGCGCCTGCCACCTCGCCCGGCTAGTTTTTTGTATTTTTTTTTTAGTAGAGACGGGGTTTCACCATGTCAGCCAGGATGGTCTCGATCTCCTGACCTCGTGATCCGCCCGTCTCGGCCTCCCAAAGTGCTGGGATTACAGGCTTGAGCCACCGCGCCCGGCTATCTCAGCGTTATTATGCTACGTGATGATCACTCTTTCCATGAGAGGGCTTGTGCAGTCCAGCGGAACTGCACATTTTTGCTGTCTTCACTTTGTTCCTTACTTACATCCACATGTAATATGGGCATTGACAGTTTTACCTTACACAAGCAGACATGTTTAAAGAAACAAAAAAGATTTGTCTTTGACTTCTCAGCTATTGGGGTTCTCTACTGCTCTGCACATAGCCCAGCCTCAGGTCCCCATTTCCTGTGACCACCAACCCCCAACTGCAGGGGTCCCGGGGCAGCACTAGCAGGACTGCTCTGGGATATCTGGGTGCTTCCGATTCCAAGGCAGTAAACTGCTGGCACCCAAGGCTGTAGCTTGAAGGGAGAGGAGAATGCAGTTAAGTTCATGGCATGTGGACTGGTGGGAGGTGGAGTAGAGGAGAGGGCAAAAGAATCTTAGGGCTGAGCACGGTGGTTCACACCTGTAATCCCAGCACTTTGGGAGGCCAAGGTAGGAGGATCACTTGAGACCAGGAGTTTGAGACTAGCCTGGGCAGCATAGTGAAATGCCATCTCTACAAGAAAAAATTAAAAATTAGCTGGGCATGGTGGCACACATCTGTAGTCCCAGCTACTTGGGAGGCTGAGGAGGGACAATCATTTAAACCCAGGAGTTTGAGGCTACAGTGAGCTATGATCACACCACAGCACTCCCACCTGGGTGACAAAGCAAGATTCTGCCTCTTAAAAAAAAAAAAAAGTGGTATGGGATGAACTGTGTGCCTGTGTGCCTCCAAAATTCATATGTTGAATGCCTAGCCCCAGTGCCTGAGACTGGGAATGTATTTGGAGATATATTCCCTTTAAAGAGGGAATTAAATTAAAATGGGGTCATTAGGATAGGCCCTAATCCAATCTGACTAGAGTCTTTATAAGAAAAGGAGATTTAGATTGGGTGCGGTGGCTCAGGCCTGTAATCCCAGGAATTTGGGAGGCTGAGGCAGAAGGATTGCTTGAGCCCAGGAGTTTGAGGCCAGCCTGAGCAACATAGTGAGACCCCCATCTCTATTAATAAAAATAAATAAATAAATAAAAATTAGCCAGACGTGGTGGCACATGCCTGCAGTCCGAGCTACTTGGGAGGCTGAGGTAGGAGGATTGCTGGGACCCAGGAGGTTAATGCTACAGTGAACCAAGATCACGCCACTACACTCCAGCCTGGGCAACAGAGTGAGTCCCTGTCTCTAAAACAACAACAATAATAATAATTTTAAAAAGAAGAGGAGATTTGGACACACGGAGAGCTCACACAGAGGAAAGACCACTGAGGACACAGTGAGGAGGTGCCATCTGCAAGCCAAGGAGAGAGAGGCCTCAGAAGAAACCAAACTGCTGGTACCTTGATATTGGACTTCTAACATGCAGAACCATGAGAAATAAATCTCAGTTGTTTAAGTCACCTATTCTGTGATATTTAGCTATAGCAGCCCTCACAAACTAATACGACAGGGAAAGGAAGGAGACTAGTGATATAAGAGGAGAAAAGTGCAACCAACAGATATTGGGCAGAAAATACAAATACAGGCCAGTGCGGTGGCTCACGCCTGTAATCCCAACATTTTGGGAGGCCAAGGTGGGCAGATCACCCAACTCCTGAGGTCAGGAGTTAGAGAGCAGTCTGGCCAACATGGTGAAATGCTGTTTCTGCTAAAAATATAAAAATTAGCTGGGCATGGTGGCACGTGCCTATAATCCCAGCTACTCAAGAGTCTGAGGCAGAAGAATCACTTGAACTCAGGAGGCGGAGGTTACAGTGAGCCAAGATGACAGTGCCACTGCACTCCAGCCTGGGTGACAAAGGAAGAGTCCATCTCAAACAACAAAAACAACAACAACAATACAGAGATGTTATACTTTCCTGGACGAAATGTTACACTTCCCAGAGTCCCTTCCACTTAAGGAAGTTTCTGTCAGTTCCACGCATGGGGCATTGATGTATTTTTTTTACTTGACATTTTTTTATTTTTAATTTTTGTGGGTACATAGCAAGTATATATATATTTATGGGGTACATGAGATGTTTTGATACAGGTATACATTGCATAATAATCACATTATGGAGAATGGGGTACCCATCCCCTCAGGCATTTATCCTTTGTGTTACAAACAATCCAATAATACTCTTTCAGTTATTTTAAAATGTACAATTAAGTTATTATTGACTATAGTCACCCTGTTGTGCTATTAAATAGTAGGTCTTTCTCATTCTTTCTAATTAATTTTTTTGTACCCATTAACCATTCCCACCTCCCCTGCAGCCCCTCACCCACCCTTCCCAGCCTTTGGTAACCATCCTTCTGCTCTCTAAGTCCATGAGTTCAATTGTTTTGATTTTTGGAGCCCGCAAATAAGTGAGAACATGCGATATTTGTCTTTCTGTGCCTGGCTTATTTCATTTAACATAATGACCTCCAGTTTCATCCACATTGTTGCAAATGACAGGATCTCATTCTTTTTCATGGCTGAATAGTATTCCACTGTGTATATGTACCACGTTTTCTTTATTCATTCATGTGTTGGAGGACACAGGTTGCTTCCAATTTTGGTTATTGTAAACAGTGCTGCAACAAACATGGGTGTGCGGATATCTTTCAATATTCTGATTTCCTTTCTTTTGGGTATATAGCCAGCAGTGGAATTGCTGGATCACATGGTAGCTCTATTTACATATTTTTTTTGAGGAACCTCTAAATTGTTCTGCATAGTGGTTGTACTAATTTCCATTCTCACCAACAGTGTGTGAGGGGTTCCCTTTTCTCCACATCCTCACCAGCATTTGTGTTTGCCTGTCTTTTGGATAAAAGTTATTTTAACTGGGGTGAGATGATATCCCATTGTAGTTTTTTTGATTTGCATTTCTCTGATAATCAATAGTGTTGAGCACTTTTTCATAGACCTTTTTGCCATTTGTATGTCTTCTTTAGAGAAATACCT